TTTTCGTCCGAAATTTCGTAAAAGAATCGAAGTGTACACAGTTTATTTCATTTTAGAAAATTCGGCAAAAAATCGGATGAGATCTTTACGAATTCATTAAAACTTCTGTACAATTCAGAATACTTTGAAAAAATGGTTTGCAGGGTTTATACCAAAATTTCATGTGAAAACAATATGTGTTATGCTGGAAAAATTTCACGGCTGTAAACAGAATACTAACCTAAACATTGTTTGGCAACATCGATGTTTCTCCAGCTCTATTCATAATGGCGTTCGCCACACTCGTACCAATTTTCAACTTTATGCGAATTATTGTAAGCTTGCCCCTATTTATTGAGCTAACTTGACTGGCATATATACATATGTATGTAACTAGTGAAAATAATAAGTATAGATACATCGCACGATTGAGAGAATACAAAGGTTGCGCCGATCTCGGACCGCTATTCCTCTCTTAACGAATTTGACAGAATCCAAGAATGATAGAATAAAAGATTGCGCCAATGAGAGAGGATTTTTGAGCGTAATATTTGCGTGACGTCATCTTGGTGCAATTGCGAGAGAGAAATGCCAAAACGCATATAAAAATATGTAAACAATGCAGAAAAATGTGTTAATTTTAATATTACATGGCCCAATTTTGCAGGAATCAATAAATATACAAAGATTGATTAATTAGGAACACGTAGCAATAATTTTTGACATGTAGCCCTTTAGGTAAGTACGATTTTTAGCACATGAAAAAATGGATGTATTAACAGTGTTTGCAATTTCATGTAGACCAAAAGGAAGGTGTGCAGCAAAGTGAATTTTTGGACTCGCCATTGTAAAAAGCCATGCAGAGTGCATATTTATATTTGTGGACGGTAGCCAACCACCATAAACTCCACAGCTGTTGACTCCACAGCTTTTATTTGATGACTTTTGTACCATTTCCGAGAGGATGCATGAGTGTGGCTTCTTTGGAAACAAATATTCTATGTAAGCAAAACATAATTTAAGCTGAACTTTTAAATGTATAATAATTTGGGCACTGTTTTGTATTAGGTACGTAACAGCGCGGTAAGATGCCGCGAGAATTAGCGCCTGGCGACCTTATCCGCTGGTGCATTACCTCATACCAGCACAAAAAATATTATTTTCAATATCTTCACTAGTAAAGGGCTTCATGCACACATAGCTCGATTTGGTGTTTAATGCATCTCCTCGCCGGCAGAACTGCTTCCAATTTTTCGCCAGATTTGCGTCCATAGGAAACGAAAAAAAACTTATATCGCACGCTTTCCTTTTGTTTACACTATTACACTTTGCCACGGCACACTTCATTTTGCTTTCTAATGTCTCAATAATTGTTTAAAACCACGTAGAAATATTAACGCACATATATTAAAATTATTATTTGGTTTTTTCGTATGCTCTCAATCAACAATTGGACCAAGATGACGTCACGCACACAGCTGATTCTGTCAAAATCACAAAGAGCGGATTAGCGGTACCGCGATTGGCGCAATCTCTATTTCTCTCAATCGTGGACAGAATCGTTGTTTGCATGACGTCACTCTGGTGCAACTTGTTTACGTTTTCCTTGCAACATTTTTTCTTCTCCTTCCATTCTTGCTCACGTTTTGGCATTTCTCTCTCGCAATTGCACCAGTGTGACGTCACACAAAAGTTATTCTCAAAAATCCTCTCAGATCGGCGCAATCTTGTATTCTATCATTCTTGGATACATCGAGGGCACCTTAAAATCGCTCAATTGTTTTCTATGTTCATACTATATACTCAGAGGTGGGCAACGCCGAGGCCGAAAAGAGCCACATATAAATTCTAAATGCTACAAAGAGCCACAAAGAAACAACAAGAACCAAATTTTATTTTTAAATAAAATTATTATTAGAAATGAAAAACATTTGGGTTGTTCACACTTGCCTAGTTATCAGGTTATCTGGTTAAAAATTATTATTCTCTAGTGTATGTTATTGTTGTAAACTGAATAAAAAATATAACCACATAACCAAATAACTTGATAACCAGGCAAGTGTGAGCAACCCAATTAATTTTATTATTATTCTAATGTACGTGAGATAGATATTAAAGAAAATTCAAAAGATTCTTTGGCCAAATTTTCAAAGTATGGTATTAAAAAAACATATCCCGAAGTCTTATCCTGGCACAGTTGATTGACTAAACGAATAATTACTTCTTACAACTTTAATTATATTTTACTATTTTATCTTCCAAACCACCAAATTCGATTTAGGGATTTGCATAAATTCCAACCAGCTGTTTTTGATCAGCTGTTTTCTTGTTGGCAAATTGCTGTTGTGTTTTTCCAGCAGAAACTAGCAGCTTTCCCTCAAAATGAAATGACATTTTGCTCTCTCAAATTCCCCTACTTTGCAAGTTTTTGGCGTACGCGAACACAAAAAGCTGATAGCTTTTATAACTTTCAATAACTCAATAAACATTTAGGTTTGATCGCAACTTGAGGTTAAGTTGAGAACTAAATTATTTATCAAATCTCCAACGTTGTTTCTCAACAGTACCTCAAGTGGAGGATCATAGCGTTCTCAACGAAAAGGGCATTTTTATTTGTATGATAAAAGGACTGTTTCTCAAGTTGAGAAAATGCTAGTTCTCAACTTGAACTCTACTGTAATTCTCCAATTGGTCTCAACCATATCAGTGATATACTGAAATTGAAATAGTAAAATACCTTATACCTTTTTGATTGAACGACATACATAGATGAATTTAAATATTAATTTTTCATTTTATTACTCGTTTTGTATTATGTAGTTAATCAATATCGTATTACAATAATTAACTTCACAGTATACAGTCAGACAGTGATTTTGCCACTTTATTCACTTCGCGTTTTATTTTCTTTCAAGACTATTTGAGGATACTTCGAAGATTATTTACTTTTTGTTGGTAATTTTCCTCTTTATATAGCTTTCGTTTTTCACTTGATAATTAAAATTTTTATTCTCTTTCACTTTTTACCTATCTGCGCGTCGGTTAGAGATGAGTTGGATAATGATGTTGGATATCGACTTGAGAACTATGAATTTCTCCAAAGTTGGAGAAATATTTTTTTTAGTGTTTATTGGGAATTATCAGGTACGCAAATGCAATTAATTGTGAATGGTATTTTGACTTTACGAATTTCATTGTAGAGAACAAAGACTCACAGTTATACGTTGTACCAAAAATTTAAAATACATACATATATGGCACACAGCTGTTTTCAACAGTGGATATTTTAAATCTGGTACTTGTTGCCGGAATTCAAGCAATGGCAAAGCTTTATGTTGCATTTCCAGTGCCCTATCTTCTTTTAAGTCCAAAAACTCCAACTCCTCTTCCCTTTTCTTAAAAAGGAGTATTTCGGATATTGTAAATTCATCCTCAATTGTGTTACGTAAAAAATGTTTATGAAGTATGCAAACGTACATTTAAATAATTTCAAATCGGCAAATCTTTTTCAAAATCTGGTTTTAAATCATGTGCAATATGATGAAATTTTTTTTGAGATCATGAATAAAAAGGCGTAGTTTAGCTTCAAAACTTTAAATAATTTGGACAAATCAAAAACATTTTTATTCTCTCCTTGTAGAGACAAATTCCAGTTTTGCGAATGTTCCATCATATCGGTAAAGAACATTAAGTCAGAAAGCCAATTTTCATTCCCCAATTCCGGGTAATGTTCCGATCTCAATCTGCGTATGTGTACATAAAAAGAATAAAATAATAAAAAAACAACACAATGGAAAAGAATGTCCAACAAAGAAATATGTATTTTAAAAAGTAAAAAGAGCCAAAATGTTCTAAGTAAAGATAAAGTAAAAAGAGCCGCGTTTGCCCACCGTTACTATATACCTATAATACGTGTACCGAATTGTAAGCAAATCGGACCATAACGAAGATCTTTTTCGAATAGATCGGTCCCTGCCCACTTACCGAAAATTTCAAGCAAATTGGACCATAAATACCGGAAAAAAGAATCCTATATGTTAATCTAAGCAGAAGGCTACCTACACATGTGCCAAATTTGAAGCAAATCGGACCATAATTAAGATTTTTTCGAAAATATCGGTCCCTGCTCCACGTACCGCAAAAATTACCCTATATGCTAACCTAAGCAAAAAGCTACCTACATACCAAATTTTAAGCATATCGTACCATAAATAAGATTTTTTCGTATAGATCGGTCCCTGGTCCACCTACCGGAAAAATTTAACCATTGACATGGTGGTTGCTGAAGGTGGCAGGTAACAAAATCAACGGAAATAACGTCAATTGACACTTCGGGCCCCGATTCAGCTATGCAAACCATGTGCAATTTGTCAATGAATATATCGTCGATGTTTTTGCAAAACTGCCCATCGACCAGTTGCAAAACCGCCTAAATCACCGTTGTGGCAAAAATGAGATTTGGTAATCCTGAAATCCAGGCATCGAGATTTATGTATAAAAATCATAAAATCGTTTGTAAAATAATTGCTACAGAAAACACCGTCTCTCAAGGCAGTGCCTTCAAAGAAAACCCGTTTTTTCGCTCTCCTGTAAAATTTGAGTGCCGTAAGATAGGCCGTTTTGCAATTGATCGATGGGCGGTTTTGCAAAAACATCGACGATATAGTATTATCTAACAAATAATTTTTGCCAACGTCAAATAACACATGAGGGTATATAATTATTTCTAATGCCATACCTGGCACTATTATATTTTTGGAAATTTTACTTTTTCCACTTACAATATAACAATTACTGTTTGATCAAAAAAAATTTTAAGAAAATATTCAATTGTTATGTATTTTTTCAGATGTTTATTTTTGTTAAATGTGGGAACCCTAACTAAACAAATTATATCAGCTTTGGTTGAATTTAAAATTTTTTAAGTAATGAAGTTATTTCAGCAAATTAAGATTTATAATTCAAGGAATGCGCGCCTGTACTAATCAAATTTATTTTTTTATTTATTGGTAAAATTACAGAAAGGAGGTTATAAAGGAAAAGGACAACATTTCAAACGGTATAGGCGCACCGGAGTGGAAACTGAGCTTGTCGCTTTTTGTGTCATGGATTGTAATTTTCTTAGTAATCATGCGAGGGGTGAAAAGTTCGGGAAAAGCCGCTTATTTTCTGGCCCTCTTTCCCTACGTTATACTCGTCGCATTACTTGTGCGCGCAGTTACTTTGGAAGGCGCACTAAATGGAATTATATTTTTCCTTGAACCCAATTGGCACGAGCTGCTTAATCCAAAGGTATGTGCTGAGACACCTTTCAATAAAGTCAAAAACTCTTTCTATTCACACGCGACCATTATAAGGAAATATGTCCTCAGCCTTTGCTGGAAGGTATACATTCTTAAATATTATTTCATAACATTAAAAATTTGTAGTTAGTATGCATACAAATGTACTTTTGAAGATCGTATGTGATATGTACTTATATATTAAGTACACCCCGCGACAAAAGGATAGCACCTCAAGATTTTGAACAGCTTTGACAATTTATCTTTTGTTTGTTTAATGTTCATTACTTTTATATAAAACTATACCTATTTATCTAACAAATACCATATAAATCCAAATTTAAGACTTTATACAAAAATTATAAAAATTCCACAAAGTTTTCATCCCTATTCCAAGCATTTTAGTTTTAACTTATGGGATAAATTTTGGTGTGCAGTTTTATAGCTTATTAAAATCTAGTATAATAAAGTGCAAGTTTGAAGTTTCTAAAAAATCGCGTTGATTCGATCGAAAAACTCTGTTTCCCTTCAGGATACTTCCAATAATTATAATAAAAAATTGGTTTATTTAATAATTTTTTAATAGTAACTATTTTTATAAGTCCCAAAAACCCCCAAAAAATGCAGTAAGGCTACCTATAAAACATGGTTATTTCCCATATACATATACAGGCCAATTCTCCGGGAATTTGTTTCTCCCGAGAAAGAAATCCTCTAATAATTAACTCCCGGGAGTGGCATTTTCCCCGACAACTTGGGAGGAGGAAATTCGAACTTCGAAAAAGCTGTTTGACACTTTTTTGAGAGCTCAACTCCGCCATTTAATATAAAAAATCCTCAGGGAATTTTTATTCGTGATAGGAGGAAAGGGAAAAGAGAGAAAACTCCCGGGGAGTTTCTGTTCAGAATCGGCCTGATAATACATAGAAAACTTTGACCGACTTCTAAATATTGTTTGAGCGTATGAGCGTTGCGCCAGCTACGATGTTAAAATCCTACTTGGCGATTTTAATACCAGGGTGGAGGATAAAGAAAGCATATTTGGTCCGACAGGCAGAAAATTCAAGCTTCATAATAACACCTTCGCCAACGAAGACAGGCTGATCGACTTAGAAGCAGCACGGAACATGGTAGTTAGTAATACTAGAAACCGGCATCGAAACATCCACAAAGCCACTTGGGTATCCCCTGATCAAAGAACAAAGAATCAAATTAACCATGTTGTGAAAGACGGAAGATATGCTTCGAGCGTTCTTGACGTGCGCTCCATCCGAGGAGCCAGAATCGACTCGGACCACTGCCTTGTTGCAGCTAAGGCCCGCATGCGCCTCTGTGCGATAAAAAATGTGCATCAGGCAACGCAGCAAAAGTTCGACATCGCAAAGTGCAGTCACAATGGACAGCCAGGTAGGGAAACTATATCGAACCGAAAGTATCGATATGGTACTCATTTAAAGTATCGCTGTAAAAATATCGGATACCCATTAATATCGGAATAAAGAGACTCGATATACCAAATATCGATACCAAAACAAAAAATAAAAAAAATCTGCATATTAGTGTCGTATGTAGGCCGCTACGGGGTAGTGATTAGAAACCTCCGAGCGTATTTCTGCCATGAAAAACAGCTTCTCATAAAAAATACAATCGGCGTAAAACATTAGGGACGCCCTTTGTGGCACAACATGAAGGCGCACGCAACAAATCGAAGGAGAAGCTCGGCCAAACACTAACATATTGTGTAAGCGCCGATCTATTATTATTATTACATCACGTAGAGATTGAGGTGTTTACTTAAAACACCGAGACAGCGTGTTCAAATCCCGCCATATGCAATCCTAACGATAGTAAAAAATTTCTGTTCTTTAAAGCCCAATTTATATCGGCAATAATTGATAATCACATTATCTTTGTAATTTGAGTTTATGACATTCGATACGATACTAGGGTTCTGGTACTCGATTCCAAAAGATATCGTTTTAAAACTATCGAGTAAAAAATGTAAATGGTATCGAATGCCAAAAGTATCGATATGGTATCGTATCGTATCGAAATTCGTGTCCCTACAGCCAGGAAATTTACCTGCTTAATCAAGCAACTACCCATCGCCTGGACACACATAAGTGAGCATATCCCAATCATTTCGTACTGCTTATGCAGCAACTAACTTCAAATTGATGTATAATCACCTAGCAGCCTCATTGAGATAAACCAAATGCTTACACTTTTGATACATATCTTTGCAAATAGTTCAATATTAGTTGTAAAATCATCTAACTGTGGGCAATTAACTATTTCAGCGTGAAAAGTCATCTGTAAAAGAAACATACTGACTTTGCATTGCTTTAAGCCTAAAGCATCTTAAATTAGTTGAAATCAAATACAGAGTCGGACAACCGACTTGCTGCTTGCACACAATTCAAACTGAACATTTGAAAGCACATTTACATGTATGTATGGCTATAGTAGCTGAGCGTGCAAAGATGTTTGCTACCCTGCAGGAAATCAAACTGGTTCAGAACTTGCGCTGAGCTAGCCCGAAAAGGGACGGTACTGGATCTTCATCTATCCCAACTCAATGCGTTCAACTGTCTTTTTTAACATGGCGATGCCCTACCAAGTGACAATTGTCGCCCTCTGCAGAACTTTTGAACTTGTTCTGAGCTGACTCTGGCTTGGATGGCTCTGAGACATCAGTTCCTAGTAGGGATGTCAATCCCGGGATTTCGGGATGCCGGGATCCCGGTATTTTTTAAGTCCCGAATATCCCGGGATTAGTCGATTTAAATCCCGGGATTCCTGGAAACAAGTTTTTTGTTAGCCAATTATGTTTTTATCACAAATATCCCCTCTCAAGGGCAAATTAAAAATTTTTTTGCAACCCTTAATGCTATAATTTCTTTAAGATCGCATTACCATCAAAAGAAGGAATAATTTTGCTTCGCTCGAAATGGAATAGGTGATGCACTTATATATTTATTGTTTACTTAAATGTGCTCACTTTTTTATTATTACTTAAATATACTGATAATATCTTAAATTGATCTCAAACAGTGATTCAAAAAATTTTATATAGTTACATAGGCAGTTACTGCTGTACCAAATACAGTCACTTACAAAAATATTTTGCATCGATTTTTTTTGCAATACTCAAAATATTTTTCATGGTATTTTTTTGTGAATTAAAAAAAATATATAGCTCATTTTACAACAAAAATCATGAAAATCAAAATTTCACACTTTAGAGAAAGTTGGTTTAAGTTCACCAAATTATCATAAAAATATCAAACTTTTTAATCATAACTTTTACAAAAAATTCTATTATGCAGTTTTATAGCCCATTTAATTTAATACAATAAAGTGCAATTTTAAAGTTGCTAAAGACTCCCTTGATTTTTGAATTTTTTTTACTAACGATGTTGGGCATTTTCTTCCTTATAACGAATTTTTTTGTAGCAAAAAAAAATATAAAATGTCAACGGGATGTTTTCGCAACTTCAAAATTGCACATACATATATATTTTTTTTAATTAACAAAAAAAAATACCATGAAAAATATTCTGAATATTGAAAAAAAAAATCTATGCAAAATATTTCTGTGAGTGACCGTGTATGCATTTGTACTTGTAGTACAAAAACTATGTTATAAATTAATGAGGATATGTACATGCATACATATATGTTTGTCAAATTTTATGTTTGTTTTTTGTTGATTGAAAATACTGATTTATCGCCTTAATAAATATGTAAATGAATTACAATAAATTTTACTTTTTTTTGTTTTATCAATCTGATTTAAAATAGTATAACAGGATGATCACAGATGTGTTGCACTTTTGCCTGAATTTCGGGACAATCCCGGGATCCCGGGATTTTATTTTCAGATCCCGAAAATCCCGGGATCGACAAAACCCCGAAAATAGACATCCCTAGTTCCTAGATAGTTCAAAAAGGGTTACCTCTGGGCTAGAAAAAATTTGGTTAGTTTTGAGCTGGTTCTAAGAAGTATAGTGTAGATACGGTGACCATAAATATGGATTCAAAATGAAGGACAATTTTTCAGTAATTTTTCAAAAATATGCCTACATATATTTACGTAGTATAATAATATCAAAAGAGTATTTATGATTCAAAATTCTTAATACATTTTAAGCTTTGAAAATGAATCACGTTTTCTTCATCGATATTATTTTTTACATGAATATTTATAAAAGTATAGTAAAACATATTATAATAACAAAAGCTTTCACGAAAAGTGAAAATCTTTAAAAGATTATTTTATAGGCAAATTTTGAGTCGTTAAAAACGAAAACAATACCATTTTTTTTTGTTTTTTGGTACTTTTCGCCGTTATTTATCAAAAATCGACGTCATGAATCGACGTAAACGACGACTTACAAAGGTATTTATGTGCCCTTTACAAAAATATATAATTTGTGCAGATTGCGCTTCATAGCATCTACATTTCTAATCCGAGTTTCATTATCTTTGGCTCAAAATTTACTGTAATGATATATCTTTATTATCGAATTTTTAAACTAATGAAAAAAATTATCGAATAAAACTGCGTATATGATTGAAAATCTCACTTTTTTTGACTTTGACGACAAAATGCAAATGGTCGCCTGTAGCACTAATAATTTTCATTGAAGTCGCCACAAGTTATATATTTTGGTAAGAGGCACATCAATACCCTTCGAGCTGTAAGTCGCTTACGTTGATTGGGAGATTTTTTCATGAGATATTGCAGAAAAGCTGCGAAAAGTACCAAAAAACACTTTTTTTTTGAAAAAATCCATCCATTGTCCGATAATTTTAAAATAACGATTAAAATGCGGGACAAATGCAGGACACCTGGAAAAAATCAGTACATTTTCAGGTTTTTCAGGTTTGAAAAACTACGCAGGACAGACCTTTGAAAAACAGTACGGTCCTGCAAAAAACAGAACGGATGGTCACCGTAAGTATAGAGCCTTTTCTTTAAATAAGCACGCATACAATTTTGTAAAT